TAAAAGCGCGGCGCGTTCTGCTGCTTGGGCGTTGAGAGCACAGCGGTCCCATCAGCTCTCTCGTTTTCTCTTACAGTGGTCATACGGCTTCTACCTAATTCATCTTCAGGGAAAGCAGGGCTTCCAGTTCTTCTGCAAGACGGAGGAAATGAAGAGGAAGTGGATGGAGCAGTTTGAAATGGCAATGTGAGCACGAGTGGCTGTTCTAGCCCTGGCGTGCAGTCGCCAAGCACGGGGCGACGGTGGAGACCAGCTCTGATAACAAAGCCATGGGGAGGCTCGCGTGGACTTGCTGGATGGGTCCCTGTGCAAAGGGAGCCTGGGTCTAGCATGTCGTCGTCTACCCCGAGCATCTGCAGCAAAGCACGCCCTGGTGCACCTTTGAAATGATGCCTGCAGTGATTGCCGTGGTGTCAGGCCACGCGTGAAGCACTGAGCTGGGGCTGGAGGAAGGCGTTGCAGGAGAAGGGCTGCTGCTGCGGGGACCTGGTCCTGAGCAGAGCAGGGGTTGGCCCCGCGCTGGCGGGTCTGGGCTATTGATTGACTTCGGGCAAGGGCCAAATCCGTGAATGTTGTCCCAGGGGAAGGTTGATGGGCAAAATCATCTCTGCACAGCCAAGCCCTGGGCCTGCTTTCGCACTTGATTTCTTATCTGTCCGTGTGGTTTCCAAATTTTGACTGAAATGCAAACAGCAGCTGCCGTGACAGGTCACGAGTACAGCATGGCTCGTAGGGACAGGTTAATAACCTCCTGGTCCTTTCCCTTAGGTCCAACATAAAGCCAGAGAAAGCCAATGCAAATCACCATAACTTCCAGATGTACACATTTGAAAAGACTACCAACTGCAAAGCCTGCAGGATGTTCCTAAGGTGAGCAACATCCTTCCAGCTTTTCTGCATCTGCATTAAAACACGGAAAGAAAATCTCAAAGCTGAGGCTGAATTAGGACTTTCTGACTTCTTTTTTTGCGCAGAGGAACCTTCTACCAGGGCTATCTTTGCCCCAAATGTGGAGCGGGTGCTCATAAGGAGTGCTTGGAGATCATTCCTCCCTGCAAGATCGGTGAGTTATTTCACATCATTAGCAGCTTGTGCCAAGGAGGTGAACGCATGTGAACGATCTGAAAGATTCGCTCTAGGAAGCACTAATGTTCGTTAATGCATAACAAAATCTGAGTACGCTCCCACCCACCTCCCAGGGCTGTAATTCACAATGGCTGGTGGTTTAAAAAACCAACCAACCAACCAACCAAAACCCCCCCAAACCAAAGAGCTGAATCCCGTCTACGTCAGAGGATCGCAGCAGCTCTGTGTACTAGGTGGGATAACCCAGCCCTTGTGCTGGGAGGGCATTTAAGAGAGATTATTTCTTCATCAGGAGATGTTGGTTAGCGAAAGCAGGAGGGTCTGCGCCAGGAATCATGTTTCTGTTGAGAAGGAGAGACCTCGTCTCCGGATCCCAGATGCCCCACAGCACTGCAAAAATCTGTGTCCTTGATCTAAATTGGGCAAAACCGTGCCTCGCCTCCCCTCGCCCGGGTCAGAGCCCTGGCGCTGCTTGGTGCAGGGGACTGTCACGGGGTGGCTTTGGGGAGGTTTTGGGTGGGGAGTGGAGGGAGGAAGAAACAAATTCGCAGAACTTTGTGCAAGTGAGAAAATGTCCTTGTCGGGCTCCAGTCCCTCCCCGGGTCTTGCCCACCTGGTGCAGAGCGATGACTTGAGTGGCCCAGCCTCTGCTTTGTGCTTCCTCCATCAAGTTCAAGCACCGATGCCGGTTTATTGATACTCACAGCGTCAAGAGAAACAGAAAAAGGGGTTTATTGCCTGTTAAATTAACCACTTACTTCAACATTTCTCTTGCAGGTTCTTCAGCAGACCAGGTACGTTGTTTGATGGCCCTTTTCCCGCATGCCCCTCTGCCTTGGGCAGAGCCTGTATCCTTGCCCAGTCCAGGTGCCAGCAGCTTGTGGGAAGGACCAGCACTGGCCTCGGGGGGGTCCCAGTAACCTGGGAGGCAGGACTGGAGACTGATGGCCTCTCCTCCAGCCTAAAACTGGCCTGGTCTGGGTGGCACCATGGCCCTTGGGAGGTGCCAGCACCCAGCTGGGGCGAGCACCGGCTGCCAGCTGGTGCCAGGGAGGTTTCAGGAGGGGATTTCTTGTCCCGGTGGCTTCAGGCAGGCACACGTGGAGGGAGCCGAGACCACCGACCGTGTCCTCATGGAGACTTTTTCCTCTCTCTTTGCAGGATTCACTGAGTGCCGGACCTGGTAAGGGCATTACTGTATTGCAGAAGGGCGAGTAGAGATGGCGTCTTGATTGTGGCTGCAGGTGTCCCTAACATTGAGCATGTGGGAGGGAGAAGCTCCTTCCGAAACCAGAAAGGAGCATTAGTAGCTGCAGAAGGGTCCTGTGCCACCCTCACAGCAAGCGATGGGGCGCCGAGGTCTCTCCTGTCCCTGCTCCCCAAAGCAGCAGGTTGGGTCTCCTGCGGAAAGACCCAGCTCCTCCCTGGGCTCAGCCCTCGCCCGCTGCAGCCGCCAGCACCACGCCATTTCTTTGGGTGCGTTCGTGCCCCTGGCCCGCTCTGACGAGCGGGTAAAGCTTCTGCGTGCCGCACCGGTAACCGAGGAGAGCCTGGTGAATTTCCTTGTGCCAGATCGTCCTTCGAAGCAGACCAAACACGTCCTGGCAGGGAGCCTTGTTGGTGATGGGGAGCATCTTCCTGCCGGCGCGTGTCCGGCGCGCTGCGGAGATGTGCAGCTCCGGGCGCTGCCTTCTGATGGGGCCATTAGTCACGATGGTTGCTGCAATATTTTTTATTTTCCTTTGTTTAAAACTAGCCTTTTAACTAGCCTGCCCTGCCCGTGCTCTGGCTCGAAGGAGAAGGAACAATTTGTTTTTGTGCTTTTTCTGTTAAAAGGAAAACCAAGCCTGGCAAAAAGAACCCTGAGTCAAATTGGTGGTTAAAAAAAGAAAGCACAGAATGCTCTCACTGGGCAGGGAGAGGCAGAGGTGGGAAAGCATTTTGAAGACAAACACTGTGATTTTAGTGCAGTTGGGGAAGCTTATTTAATGTGCAGTTGTTAGCGAGACAACTGGACTTTGGCTGCGAGCTGCAGGGCCGTTTGGGTCCCAGATACGGCTGAAATTCGGTGGAAGCTGAGTGTTCACTGGTCCCTTTGGCAATCGTGGGTGTCACCACTGAATACAGCGGGGTTTGGTGCTGGCCAGGCATTGCCTAACGAGAGCCAGTCCTCCACGGCGAGGTTCAAGTCCAGGTGCAGGGTTGGAAGTCGGAGCTTTGGCTTGGCTCCGTCCTTCATGGGTTTATTTTTGCTCAGTGAACGCAGCCATCCGTGTAACTGCAGGAGCCAAGCCCATTCTCTGTGGGCACTGTTCCTTTCTGCTCTCATGCTTTCTGCCCCAAAATCCTGCCTGCCGGTGCCATTAGATTTGTGGTTCACAGGATAAGCAACAACAGGCTTCGGGGGGGTATTTGCTTCTTGTTAACAGGGTCTTAGGTGATGAAACTGTTTTGCATCTGTTCCAGGTCCTAAAATGGTGGCGGTTCAGAATTACCACGGAAACCCAGCCCCCCCCGGGAAGCCGGTGCTGACGTTTCAAATTGGGGACGTGATCGAGCTGCTGAGGGGGGACCCTGACTCGCCATGGTGGGAGGTGAGAACAATTCCCTTCGGGAAATTCCCGGGAAGTTTTAAACCAGTGACTTCTGCATCGTCCCTTTTATTTGTGGGCTTTCCTGGAGCACAGGGATGTGCTGGGGCTCCGGAGCTGGGGGGTCTGTGAGGTGGTTTGGAGCCCGGGAGCTGCAGCGGGGACCGTCCCTGTCCCTGCACGGCAAAAACGTTGCTCCTCCGTGCATGCCCCAGGCTGATACCTGCCTTGGCTTTGCAGGGGCGGTTGCTGCAGACGAAGAAGTCGGGTTATTTTCCCAGCTCATCGGTAAAGCCCTGCCCCGTTGATGCGAGGGTAAGTGCCAAGGAGGAGATGGAGCCGGGAGCACCTGTGGGTGCTGCGGGAGCGCCAGGACAGGCGCTGGGGGCTGTCACGGGAGATGCTGCTCCGGCAGTGCCTGTTGCTCTTCTCAGCCTCCTGCTTGAGACCTTGGTCCTTCCACTAAGCCCCTGGACCTTGAATGAGGCCTTTTACTGTGGCCGAATTAGCGAGGAAGCAGATCCATCATCCCGTGGTTGCAAATGTCTGGTCAGGTTGGTCTCAGCCCCGTTCCCAAGGTTGGGGTTGGTGTGACCAGGTCCAGCCTCCATTCCTCCTCTGCTGGGCTGACTCGGGAGCAGAGCGCTTGAGATCAGTCACAGTACAGGGAAACTGCACTTTTGGGTTTTTTTACTATGTTTTGCAATGCTGTCAGCCGCTTCCCAATTAAAAAAAACCGCTCAGGTAAATGAAAAGATGCAGCATGCTCATCACAGCTGGGCGGCTGAGAGAGGACTGCTCAGCTACGGCGCTGCCCGCCGCCGCCGAAGCCAATAATTCAGAAACGGCTTTGCAGGAAAACCCTCCTGTGGAGAGGAGCGTCTCGCACGTGACCTATAGCCTGACGAGACGCTGGCTCATCAGTAATAAGCAATGCTCTCTTTGCAGCCTCCCAACAGCCGGCCGCCCTCGCGGGAGATAGACTACACAGCGTACCCGTGGTGAGTCACCCTGCCTGCCGCTGGACAGTGTGCTGGACCCAGCCTTCCTCTGGCCGTAAAGATATATCGACTGTGCCTTTTAATTGTTACTTTGTCAGGAGTCCACTCTAATAACGAATTATGAGTGTGGGTTAGCAGCGCTTTGCATCCCACCTCCCCCACGGCCACGGGGCAGCTGCTGCAGCAGCAGCGTTTGGGTTTTGAAACCTGGTGCAGCCCTAACAGCATCAGAGGGGATTTCTTCACTGATGGAGAGGGTCAGAGGCAAAAGGAGAGATGCTGCTTTCTCTTCCCATTTTCTGTGCCCAGAAAACTGTTTTGGGAGGAAGGAAGCAATCCCTGCCTTGGTGGGAGAGGTTGCACTTGGCTTGCCTCCTGCTCCTTCCCTCCAGCTCCATCCAGGTTTGCAAATATACAAGTCTAAATTATCCCCACTCCCCAGCTCTCGCTGAAGCCTCGTTCACCTGGGGACCAACTCCAAATTAGTGGGATTTTCTAGGTACCCTGGAAACATAAGAGACTTCAAAGGGAAGAGGTTGCACTCTGCATCGCTCATCCTCTCTGTTCAGTGGCTGAGCAGCTTCTTGTCCCGTCTGCTCATGAAGTTTTGGATGAGACCTGTTTCTCTACTTGCCCAACCTTCATGCCTTTAAAAAAAGAATGTGTCCTTTTGTCTAAAACATGCCTATTTGAAAGATATGCAAATTAATTTTTAGTCAATTAAATTAATTAATTAACCTCTGGGCTCAGGTTTGCAGGGAACATGGAGCGGCAGCAGACGGACAACCTGCTCAAGTCTCACGTCAGCGGCACCTACCTGATCCGGGAGCGGCCAGCCGAGGCTGAGCGTTTTGCCATCAGTATTAAGTGAGTAATACTTAATTTAGTAATTTAGTATTACTCGCATACAGAGGGCGAACGGAGCTGGAGCATGCAGCTACGTTTTCATGAGTGCCTTTGCTACCGTTTGCAGGTTCAACGAGGAGGTGAAGCACATCAAGGTGGTGGAGAAGGACAACTGGATTCACATCACGGAAGCCAAGAAGTTTGAAAGCTTGCTGGTAGGTTTTTGTAGCCCCTTGGAGCGTGTGCGCCGTCCCTGCAAGTCACGCAGAGGACAGCGGAGACAGCCGGGTGCCCCTCTGTCCTCCGCAGGAGCTGGTCGAATACTACCAGAGCCACTCGCTGAAGGAGAGCTTCAAGCAGCTGGACACAACGCTGAAATACCCCTATAAGTCTCGGGAGCGCTCTACCTCTAGGACCTTCACCCGCTCTCCAGGTAAAACCCAGCTCAGCCGCGCGAGTGGGCACCGTTAAACCCCTGATGGAAAATCTCACCCTTTCAGCAAGGCGTGGGAACACCATCTGGACGAAGGGATTTATAGCTTTGCTGTAGGGCTTGAGCCCCCTAATTTTGCAAATAGGTCTCTTGCTCGGCTGGTGGCATTTTGAGGACGGGTCTCGCAGGGGGTCGGGGGGGTCCGGCCAAGCTGGGGCTGCCTGATGCTGCTCCCCCGAGCTCGTGCGGCTCTGCGGAGCGGGTGCAGCCTCCCAGGGAGAGCTTTTCCTGGGGAAGGCTGGTTTCCCTCCTGCGGTTTTGCACCCTGTGCTCGGGGGTGGTTTGGTCCTGCCGGGAGAGGAGCTGCGGCTGCAGGGGCAGCCCGTCCGAAAAAAAGCAGAGGTTTGTTGCTTTGTTGGTGGGACGTATCGTGTCTTACCTGCCCACGTGAGTTTTTGTGCATGTGTTTTAATGGATCCAGTTCCAGTGTCACTTTGTGATGGTTTGAATCCCAGTGGGACTGCTTTAATGGAGATGATGGTAGAAATGGTAAGTCTGTGCCTAAAATTAAAAAAAAAAAAAAAAAGAAAGAAAAAAAATCAAAACAAATGGAAATCATTGTGTGCATTAGTGCAAAATGTTCCATTTTGTCTAAAAGCCTGAGTGCAGAAATAACTACTTTGTGTGGAAAAATGTACTTTTAAAAAACTTTTTCCATGGTATATTTTAAAAAGAATACCAAAGGAAGATAGGTTTTAAGCGTTGATTAAATATCTTTTCCAATAAAATACAACCCTAGGGTGACTTTTGAGCCCCACACTGGCTGTGGATGGACCTGCTGCTGGTTGTCCCAGCTCCGAGCCCCTGCACAAAACCTTCTGTATGCTTTGCCGTGTATTTCTCCGTTGGCTTTTAAAGCATTGTTCATTATATTTTTTTTTTTAATTTCCTTTTTAATGCGTGTTCTGCCTCTTTCTGTTTCTCTCTAACCTCTTTGCAGCCTCCTGCGCTTCCTACAACTTTTCTTTTCTCAGTCCTCAGGGCCTCAACTTTTCTTCTCAGAGCTCCTCCAGTCCCTTCTGGTCAGGTACCAGTGCCTCTCCCGCCGGAGAGACCTGCCACCTTCCCCAGGCTGCAGCATCCCCAGCTTGAAAGCCATCGCCAGCGGGACCTGCGGGGTCCCCGCTGTCCCTCCATCACCAGCAGGCAGTTCAGGGGGTCCCCAGTGCTGCCCTGGGACGCAGCCTTGAAATAAGTTAATTAACCATGGCTTGGCTGGAAGCAAAACGCACTCCCCCCTCTCCCCAAAATCAAGGCAGGGAGGAGATGGAGTTGTCGCTATTTGAGAAAGGGGGCTAAAATTAACGAAAAAGTGAACCTAGCGCATTGGGATCTCATGATGTACTTCAAGCTCGACCTGCTTATCCCGTGTGTTTCACCGAACAAGCATTGACATCACACCGTCTTCCAGACCGTTCCTCCTTGCTGTACAAGGAGAACATCTCAATGTCCGGCAGTTTTTGAACTCTGGTGTCTGAGGCTGCTCAGGAGCCCCTTGCTGAGGAGGCGGGGGGGGAACCTGCGCTGTCAAATGTGTTTTGTGGCTCAGACTCCCTGCGGAGAGTGCAGTGGTGCTCCGGCCTTTGAACCCCAGTGATTAAATGTGTTACAGACTGGTGTCTTCCTCCCTGTTTGGCAGGGATCAGAGCAAAATCGTGCCAGTTCATTTCTTCCCGTTCAAGTTTTTACCTTTCAGTATTTTCTTAAGGCTGGACAGGGAAAATCATCAGCAAAGCCACACGTGCTTTCCTTAGTGCCGTGTTTGGGAAGAACACTTAACTTTTCAAGGTTTTAGAACGTAATTCTGGGAATTTGAGATCCTTTAACTGCATAGAAAGTATTGCAGAAAGTAATTTGTGCAGCAATGGGCTCTGAGCAAGCTCCTGATGAAAGAGTTCAAAGCTGCTGTGGTTCTCGCTCCGTTCTCCAGCCTGGCTGCCTGGCGAGGACGGACGAGCCCTCCAGTGATTGCACGTTGTGTGTCTGGACCGTCTCCATCGCCATCCTCATCTCCTTCCATCCCGAGAGCTGAAAACCTGGGCAAAGCTTTTCCTCAGACTTAGTTCAACCTTGGTTTGCAAACTTTTAAAATTCAAATTAATCCTCAAAAGTCATGGGACAAAAGGGGTAGCTTCACTGAAACATGACGTCCCTTCAGAGTGGGGTTTTTTTGCAAACTTCAGAGGAGGTGCATTTTTCTCCTCTGCCCATCCCATCCCTCCCACCGTCGCTCTCCAACCCTCCTTTCCCCCTGCCCAGACACTGGGGCAGGGAAGCTGAGCACTGCCCCTGCCTTTCCCCCCTCACTGCTGCTCCTCCTTGTGCCTCCCCCGACCATCCCCTGCCTGAAGCGATGGAGATCTGCGGTGCTGGGGCCGTGCTGGTGCTGGCGGAGGCCGGGTCCCAGGGTGGCTCACGGGGCCATGCTTCTTATCACAAGGTGTGGTCAGCGTTAGGGTTTGCAGGGTGCTTTTGCACCTTTTGGTCTGTAATGGGACCAAGTTTCCAAGGTCCCTGGCTGCTCCCTGGCAGGGACAGGAGCAGGGAGGATACCGGGTTGGCAGCTTGATCCTCCTCATGGCAAAACATACAGGTTTTGCTCAGCATCTCTAGGAGAATCCAGTCCCAAAACCTAATTTTTCTGAAGTAGTTTAAATACAAGTTGATTTGTGAAATCTTTTGACAAGGTGGTCCCATCGGGTGCTGGGAGCTGGGCGGCAGCCAAACCTGATACGGATAGTGGAACAGGATTTTTCCATTATTTCATTGTTAATGACTGTGTATTCCTATGAAATCTACTCTTTTACTACCATCTCACAAAAGTGCCCCTCACCCCAGCGATCCCCACCAAGCCCCTCCTGGACTCTCCTGGCCAGCAGAGAGGGGCTTCCCAAGCCCATGGAGCTGTTTAAAGCCCAGCGGGAATCCAGTTTAACCCCGACCGCCCCAGTCCGTGCGGCGCTGAGCAATTCGGATGAGGCCAGCCCCACCATCCGAGCTGCTCCAGGTCGTGGTGTTGCAATGGGAGCCAGCGCCGTGGTAGAAAACCCAGGTTGAACCTCACCAAGCTTTCCCCAGGCTTCGGCTGGTCCCGTGCGGTGGGGCAGCTCTCGACTCCCTCTGCTTTGTCCCCTCGCAGTGTTCACCCCACGGGTCATAGGGACGGCGGTGGCACGATACAACTTCGCGGCACGGGACATGCGGGAGCTCTCGCTGCGAGAGGGCGACGTGGTGAAGATCTACAGCAGGATTGGCGGGGACCAGGGATGGTGGAAGGGGGAAACCAACGGAAGAGTGAGTGCATCCAGATAATGTCCTGTCTCGTTTCTGCAGCGCGCGGTCCTCCCCGCTCTCAACGTGCCCAGCCAGAGCACAGCCTGTTGCCAGGACAGCCAAGGGCAGGGGGACACGTCCCACTCCCTCTTGCTCTTTTTCTGGCTCGTGGATGGGCTGTCATCTCACGAGAGCCACCGCTGTGTTGCCAGTGGGTGCTGTGTGACAGTGACACGCAACGCCCAGTGCATGGCAGGCAGATGGGAGCATGCGGTGGGCAGGCGGGCACGCCAGCTCGGGCGATGTCCGAGTCTGCTCTTCCTTGAGCCTGCACGTGGGGGATTTATGCAGGAGTGGCTCTGCGGGTGAAAGGCTCAGCATCCTGGGGGAAAGCAGCAGGCTGATGGCTTGACCTGGTGTCCCACAGAGTTTGTAGCACTGGGGACAGATTCTCCATGCCCCGATCCCTTATGTATTGCGGACAACCCATGTGTCCGAGGCAATGTATAGTTGCTAGCTCCACCTCAGTTAGGGTAACGGCTGCACCGCCTCCCCGTCGTCGCCGTGCATTGGGATGCGGGTGCATCCAGCACCGTACAAATGGCTCACCGGGAACAGCATGTGGTGGGGGGGGAATAGTCCCGGTGACGGAACAGGAGGTCCCTTCAGCTCCCCATTTCTCCAGCTCACCTCTCCGCTTCCCCGACAGGTTGGCTGGTTTCCCTCGACGTACGTGGAAGAGGAGGGGGTGCAATGACTGCGGAGATGTCTGATGGAAAGTCGTCGAGCGCCCAGAGCGAGCCGCTGCAGACCGTGCGCACTTGTCCCGATGCCTGCGGCTCCCCGTGAGACGCGGCTGGACGCCTCCCAGGACTGCTCTCGCAGACTCTTTAGCAATGCGTTCCTCTGTACAGTGTGTGTGTGCGCGCGCGCGTCGGGGCCGCCGGCGGCCTCGCTCCTGTTAGGTGTATAGAAGATTGATGGTCTGTCGGATAACGTTCGTGTAGCAGCTGCAGAAGAGTCCCGGGAAAGCCGCGCTCCCCTGCATGGACAGAGCTTAGAGACTCTGTGCGGTGCCCGCCGGAGGATGGGGTCCTCCAAAGCTCTTTTACTAAAGGTGTTTTAAAAGCCACTGTGGTGGTGGTGGTGGGAGGGTGAGGCTGAAGACTTGCGCCTGGGCTGGTGCCCAGGTGTGCCAAGGTGAGAAGTTGGGGGTTTCTCAGGGGAGGGTGCGACTCAGCTCCGAGGGGATGATGTGGACCCCCCACCACGCCGCTCGGGTGGGCTCCCTGGGTCAGGATTTCGGCAGTCTCCCTGGCAGCCGTGCGGCAGCGCCCGGCAGCACCGCGCTGCAGGCAGGGCGAGGGGGCAGAGCGGGGACACCCGACCCGGGAGGAGGACACAGCTGTTGCTCGTCTGTGAAGGATGCCAGCTATTAAACCAGGAGCGTGTTTTGACCGTCAGACGTAGGCTGGAAGTGGACCTCCAGGTCAGACAGGAGGGGAAAGAGCTGCTTTGGCATCCCAAGCCAGTTTTCTTTACAACCACCTTCAGTCCTACCAGCCTCGCTGCGGGCGGAGGGGGCAGCCCAGGCTGCAGACTGGTCCCACTGGTGAGCAGAAGGTCTTGGCGCGTTGCAGGACTGGAGATGTGCTTCGCCACACAAGGGTTTTGGAGGCCACCAAGGCACCAGGTACATGCAGAGGAGTGGACAGAAGCATGTGTCCGTGGGTCTGTCCTGCCATCGCTCCCAGCTTGGTCCTGCTGCGGGCAGAACCCCCCCCCCCACCCCCAGACAGGCTGATTTTTCTTGCAGCCGTGACACATCCCACCTCGCTGAGCTCAGGGGGGTGAACCCACCTGAGTAAGGGCTACGGTATCAACTGATTTCTCTCACTAAGTTGTGAAAGCATCTCTTCTTCTCCAGCTGTGTGCACTTTTGGGGGCTGTGAGCATTGCCCCCTCTCTTCCTCCCACAGGCTGTTACTGCTGCTGCTGTCAAGTAAAGGTCCGTCGGTCTTGGCCATTGCCGCTGTGTCCTGAGCACCGTCCGTCCGACTCTGTTCTTTCCAAACTGCAGCCCCTGTGGTTGGTAGCCAGAGCTGCGGGGTGGAAATCTCAGCCATCGTCTTTGGCCAGGCACTGGCTTTGCTCTCCAGCTCCAGAATTTCCTTCCAAAGTGCAAATACGAACAAATACATGGTGGGTGTGTGACGGGGAACAACTTTCCTCTCTGATATCTGAGCCCCAGGAGATGCCCTCCAGCCTCTCTGAATAAGTGGCATTTGGTGCTTCCATGCCCTGACGTTGTTCCCCTGGGACTTGTGGTGGTCCCACCATGGGGCACCGTGTCCCCGGTGCAGGCTCTTGGCATCGCAGGTCTGGGAGATGCCAGCATTGGGTGGGTGAGCGGTGCTGATGCCCTCGGTCCCTGGAACGGGGGTACCATGGCTGCATCCGAAGCCTTGCCATAATTGGAGCAGCAATGTCCTGCTCAGGATAATAAATGGAAGAGTTTGGGACTCTCAAGGAAAAGAGAAAGATACTAACTTGGAAATTAAATGTTGTTGCTCAGTGACAAGCTCAGAGCCGCCTCACTTTGCTGCCCGTTCCCCCTGGAGCCCCCGCTCTCGGTGCCGTGGGGGGAGTGGGGTGGGCTCAGCCGGGGTCTGGCCGGGGCAGATGCCCACCGGGGGTCTTGCTCTGCGAGGTGACGGGGATGCGGAGGGGGCTTGGGGCTTTCCCAAGGTACTGTTTGGTGCTAACCTCTCCCGACCGGCCCCTTGGGGCTCAGCTCGGGGTATGCTCAAGGGGAGCAGCCAGCAGGGAGCTGGCAATGCCCTGCTCCTCCTGCGGAAAGCAAAGGGCCCTGCTCCAATTCCTGTAGCTGTGCTGGAGCTGAGGGTGTATTTAGGGTGGGTGAGACGCACGCGCACACACACCCAAGACAAACTCACGATGGCTCGTGTTATGCCTCGGATCCTAAAGCCTTACGCGACCCTCCTGTTTAACGTGGCCGATTTTGTAAGGCGGGGAGGGCATCCCCTCTGGAAGAGCACGTACTCTGTCACGGGGACCGTGGCCCCAAAGGGATCCCCGACCTCCGCTGCTGCCTGCGCTCCCCTCCCAGCCCTGCCAAATCCCCCTTCCTCCGGAGAGCTCTCCCTCTTGTGTTTACTGTTGTAAGAAACTTGTTAAAAAGATTGTTTTGTTTGTAAGTAATTATTCAGCCATTTGCCACAATATATATCTGTGAATAAGAAAGGGAAATGTTTTTTTATGATGGTGAGAAAATTGTATATATATTTTAGTTCATCGCAGATCATTCAAAATTGCAATGGGATACGTTGGAAAATAATATGTAAATTCCTTGGGTTTTTCCTTTGCACTGCACTAACTGGGGTAGGGTGGAGGGGGTTTAAAGATAAAACTGTTTGTTTATGGAATAGTTTATAGCTGGGAATTTGGAAATCATTTGGAATAGCTTGTAATGCTGGAATAGAAACTTTAGCTGCTACTTAGAAACCCTTTTGCATGTGGTTTTTCCAGACCTTTTTAAGTTACAATACATCAAAGTAAATTCCACAATGAAAAAATAAAGTGTAATTTTGCTGATAGTTTTTTTTTCCAGCCATGGTTTTTACTGCGGCTCAGGCTCGGGCTCACGTCGGGCTTCTTGTCACTAAAGCCCCCTTGGCTGTGCTGGGGCCGGAGGGGTGGCTTGGCCAGTCCAGGGGAGACACGTGCTGACGGGGACGGCTCCTTCCCGATGGCTGCCATGAACCGTAAGCGGTCGTGCCCCTTCCAAAACTCGGAGTAAATCCTTCCCGCAGTGCCAGACATGGCTCTTCGCAGTGAGGCGCCGCTGAAGCCGACCGCTCGCCTGTCGAGCTCCTTCTCCTTGTTTCTGGAGCAGCTGCTTCTCCTGCAGTTGTCCCGCGCTCCTGCCGGGCGGCTTTCCTGGGGCTCCCTTCCACGCCCGAGCTGA